GAGCTTGGAATTATGGGAGAAAATTCTATCAAGATGTTCTGTGACAATCAAGCTGCAATAAGTATCGCAAAGAATCCTGTTCATCATGACCGAACGAAACACATTGAGATTGATCGGAACTTCATTTCAGAGAAGGTGGACAATGGAATCATTGAATTGGTCTATACTCCTTCTAGAGACCAAACCGCAGACATTCTCACCAAGGCTCTCCCTAAGTCCAGTTTTGATGAGCTAACCAACAAGTTGGGCATGTACAATCTGTACAACCCATCTTGAGGGGGAGTGTGGAATTACGCTCATTATTATTTACTTTAATGTTATTTAGTACTTGCTATATTTTGTGATAGTATAAAAATAGTAATTCTTAATTATAGGTATTTATGTTTATTCTATAATTATAGGAATTACTTAATTGTAGGAAGATTTCTTTCCTTGTTTTATTTCTTGTAAACGCCTATTTATAGGTGAATTATCTATGTATTCATTGAGAAGAAAGTTATTCAAAAATTCACATATAGGATACCTCAACCTATCACATTGAGATATCTCTTAATATTCTTATAATATTGACTTATCAATTTCAGACTTGTAAAAAGCTTATCATGTATTCAGTATTTATTTTTGAAATCGTAAGTATCTTTTTCCCCTAAATTTTTTTGCTAATTATTCATTTTTTTCTATGGATATTAATGTTGTGAAAAAACGACGGCAATAAAACGAAAAAAACAGATCTAGAAAAAATTACACCAGAAAAGGCGACACCAGATTTACGTGGTTCGGCAAATTGCCTACGTCCACGGAGCTGCAGAGGATTTTATTAGCTTTGAGGATTTACACCGTCGTCTATTCAACGTTTAGTTTACACGAAATAGCTATCTCTCTCTACATTCCTCTCCCTCTCCTTCTCTCTCCTCTTCTCTTTCTCTTCTCTCTACCCAGCCCACATGAAAGAAAAAGAAAACAAACTTTTGTTTCCCTACCACCTGATGGAAAGAAGAAAAATGTAATTAGCTTTTCAGCCTTGAGAAGGGAAAAGTAATTAGCTTTTCTTTCTTTTTCCCTTTTCACTCTTCAGCCGAAAAAAGGAGAGGAGATACATCTTCTTCCTGCCAACCGAAGCTTTTAAAAAAACTTCCTGTTTGACCCATAAGGCAGGCATCGCGACGCGGGATCGCATGGAGGAGCGCGGGAGAATATTTGCGGAGATCTTCACGCGGTCACACGGTTCAGCGGAGAGAGACGCGGGATTAGCAATTTAAGAAAGTTTAGGCTTTCCTTAATCTCAGATTTGGAAGAAGCAGGAGGAGCAGTCAAAGAAAAATCAGCATTTTAATTATCTTCCATAAATGTCAAGATTGCCAAATCAAATCGTGGACCGAGCTCCATAATACTCAACAATTCTCCCACTTGGAGATCGAGACACTAACTGCATCGTTCCCTGACAATATCATTTTTTTTTTCTCAAATATGATATCCTCCACCTCTGCAACTCAAGACCCCCTGTCTTCAAGCTAGAATACCAACTGAAGTCGAGCACAACTTCAGTTTTTCAAGTGTAACGCCCTTGGTCAACATATCAGCAGGATTCTTGCTTCCACAAATTTTCTCAAGTAGCAACTGTCTGTCATCTAACAATGATCTAATAAAGTGATACCTGATCTGAATGTGCTTGGTCATGGATTGAAATGCTGGATTTCTAGCTAGGAATATGACGCTCTGGCTATCACTGTAGAGGGTGCCTTTCTGAATCTCCTTACCCAATTCCGCCAAGAAACTCTGCAGCCATATCATCTCTTTAGCAGCCTCTGACACTGCAACATACTCAGCCTCTGTAGTGGACAAAGAAACTGGCTTCTGTAGATTAGAGCCCCATGACACTGCAGTACCGCCAAGAGTATAAACATAACCTGTAGTACTCTTCCTACTGTCAATGTCTCCAGCTAATTTATGTCCACTACAAAACTATTATTAGTCTTGTAGAACTCTTTCTAAATCTCCTTACCCAATTCCGCCAAGAGTATGGGACAGATGACCCTCTGTTGAATTATTAGATGCCAATAATAAAGTTTGACTACTGTCAATGTCTGTATGAAAATTAATATAAAAACTTTATTTTTCTTTGTCAAGTCAAACTCAAGTACTTGATTTGAGTTGAGTTTCAATCTAGGGTGTCAAGATCGAAAATTGTTTTGAATTATTAGATGCCAATAATGGTTTAACAAAAAAAGTTATTTGAACCAGGTGAAAATTTATCATGCGTACATATGTTTGATGCATAATATTAGAACATAATTTAAATTTTTTTGGAGCATGCTTATTTTCACGTAAGTTTACAGGTTTAAACCATAACTCTAGTACTATTTGTTATTTTAATTTTCAGTTGCCTGGTCATGACCTAGAAGGGCTGCAGTTGGGCTTTAGAATGGTAAATGTGTTGGCCTGGGGAACATTAGAGTTATTTTATCTAAGCTCATAACCATTAAAAGCAAACCCATCAGATCTTCTAGAGGGTTGGGTTAATTGGTTGGCACAACCAACTTGAAAACCCTAATTTTAGCAATTGTCTCCTTTCCATTAGGGGGTTTCCATTTACCATGCCTATGAGGGTTAGCAAATTAGAGCTTTTAGTGAGTTGGGCTCATGGGTTGGTTTTACCCTTGTTATCACCAACATTTTTGGGCGTTGTTTTGGCATTATTTCCTTGCTGATTTTTTTCTCTTTTTAAGTAAAATGGGAATTGTACGTTTTAAAATTTTTAAATAGACTTTTTTATAATGTTTTTGGCTGCTTGACTTTGTAAATAATGTATTTAAACATTCTGTATTTGAATGGATCTTGGCAAATTATGTGAAGTTTCTATATTTTAGATTTTTTGGAGGTTATAAATTGGATCCTTTAGACTTGTAAAAGTTATTAGACTTTGAGCTTTTAAATAAAATCCTACTTTTCCTTTTTATTATTTGTGCTTGTTGGATGTGGCTTCTTTGAGTACTTAATAGGTGTGGGCAAGTACTTCATTGGGTTAGTTTTTTGTACTACTGTTAGACTTGATTCTTCCTTTAGGTGAATTCATAGATTTTTTTATTTTACTTATTTACTTACTAGTTTTGCGAGTGTGATTAGAATATTGCTGAGTATGATATATCAGATTTTGTTTTTTAGTGGGACTTCAATTATTCTTGTAGTTTCTTAATTTTACACTGCTTTGAATTTCAGATTTTGTGACTACTAAATTATTCTTTCAAATGAAAAATGAAGGAAACTAGTTTGCTATTTTTAATATTAAAAGGGGAGGGTTCTTGCTAAATTTAGAGTTGGTAACCCACATATTTTATTTTTTTGGTTTTTAGCGTGCATCTCATCGCCGTAGATTCATAATAATCCTACATCAAATTGGTATGCGTCCCGCATTGTCATTATGCCAACTGAAAGTAGAACATAATACTTGGATCCATTAATAATGCCAATAAAAGATACATTTTAAGACAAATCTTTTAAGCCATTGATTGTGATCTTTTGTAATTTTTATCATGCACCTTCTACTAGGTTGCACAAGTAACTTAAAGGCCTTAATCCTTCTATGTCAAATTGGTATTAGTGCTAATGTTTAAAATCTTCATATTGACTAAAAATTAAGATACAATGCTTAGGCTTATTAAAAACATCAATCAAAGATAAGTTTTAAGCAAAATCATACATATCGTGGTTTTGAATGAATATAATAGAACTATCATGAAGATCTTACTTATGTTGCTACACTCGATGAGAGAACATAGTTAAGTATCATACTTTTTTCTTAAAATCACATGCATCAACCACCATTTAAGTCCATGTTAAAAGAAAACCCAAGAAAAAAGGGAATCTTATATTGTAAGTGGTTTCCTGCTTTTCTTGCTTTTAGGTTAGATTGCGTGTAATACTCTATGAATCTAGTGTAATGCACGTTGTACTAAAAATCAAAATAAGGAGTCAAATTAATAATTCTCTCCCTTAACTTGAAACTGACAAATTTGAATTTATCCTGGACTAGGCTGAGCACTCTGATTTTATAATGACCCAAAAACTGTGGACCTCATAAAATTATCTAACACAAAGACCATATGAACTAATAGTATAGTGTTTTACGTTGAAGTGATACCAGGACTTGAACATGCATCTATCACTGAATTTGTGTACCCCAAATATGGCCTTCTCCTTATCTTGAATGCTACAATAGTGTGACTTGGCATGAAAATTTCACCTTGATAACTTTATTTTTCTTTTCATTCGAAAATGTTGAAATTATTATGCGTATTCCAAGTGAGTTTGTAGTATTTTCACGGTGGAATTATTCTTTAGTGCAATTTGCATTGGGTCTTTGTCTCTCACATTTCATATGTTTAAAACAGCCAACTGTACGTTTCTTTCGATCTTGTTTCACTTCGTTTGGAGTACTTGATGTTATTTGCTTCTTGGAAAACACAGCTTTATGAAATTAGATTACATTATTTCCACAAACTGCACTTATTTATGGTATAATCGTACACCTATTTTAAAACAGAATATTGTCCCTATTCATTAATTTTAGATAGCATGTTTAGCCACTCCTCAATCCATTTATCACACTGCTTCTTTCCTCATCCAGAAATAAGCACAGAAAAGTGTACTTAAATTTCACAAAAATAGTGGGTTTCTGCTAGAAATGGAACAAATGTGATTATCCTGACAAATCATTATAAAAGATTTTCTTCTAATGGACATACACAGCTATACAATTCCAACGGTAAATTTTGGTAAATAGTATATTTGTTTTGCAGAACCGCTGTGTCAATATAATAGCTCACCTTTTCAATGCTCCCATTGGTGAGGATGAAACTGCAATAGGAGTTGGAACTGTTGGTTCATCAGAAGCGATAATGCTGGCTGGGTTGGCATTCAAAAGGAAGTGGCAGAACAAAAGAAAGGCGGAGGGAAAGCCATATGACAAACCCAACATAGTTACTGGTGCAAACGTTCAGGTAAATTTTAATGCAAGTTGATTTATTTCTATCTATTTTTTACATTTTTAATGACTTGTTTGCTACTACACAGGTTTGCTGGGAAAAATTTGCCAGGTATTTTGAAGTGGAGTTAAAAGAAGTGAAACTAAGAGAAGGGTTTTATGTATTGGACCCTGAAAAGGCCATCGAGATGGTTGATGAAAATACTATATGTGTTGCTGCTATTTTGGGTTCAACTCTAACCGGGGAGTTTGAAGATGTCAAAATTCTGAATGATCTACTCGTAGAGAAAAACAAGCAAACTGGGTAATTTATCGCGATAAAAATTGCTGCATATAAGCATAAGTTTTTTGGATGAAAATTTGATTCCTTAGAGATTGCTTGTAAATATAATTTTAAAATGCAAAAGTTTAAATTGTTTGTCCTGTGTTTGTTTGGCAGTTGGGATACCCCAATTCATGTGGATGCCGCAAGTGGTGGTTTTATAGCACCTTTTCTTTATCCAGAATTGGAATGGGATTTTCGTTTGCCGTTAGTGAAGAGCATCAATGCCAGTGGTCACAAATACGGATTGGTTTATGCTGGTGTTGGCTGGGTGGTTTGGAGGAGCAAGGAGGATTTGCCTGAAGAACTTATTTTCCATATAAACTATCTGGGTGCAGATCAACCGACTTTCACCCTTAATTTCTCCAAAGGTTTGTTATATCTATTAGCTAATATTCTTCTCAGAAAACAATTTCAACCATGATTTCGCAAAAGCTAATCTGTTTTTGTTTTTGCAGGTTCAAGCCAAATTATTGCTCAGTACTACCAGTTTATACGATTGGGATATGAGGTAACATCGCAGCTTAACTTTTTTGTCCAGCATTGTGTCATTTCTTGGATAAATGAGGTTTTATTTTTCATTAAAATTTCCTGTTGTGTTTTAACTTGTGTTGTGATGAATAACGGTTACCAACGTTGGATAAGTTGATTCAAGATTTAACTTATGAATTGTGTGATGAAAATGCATGGCTCTAATATTTCCTAATGCAACTAACGATGCATTAGTATGAATACATGTAATAAGAAATTGATAATTCACATATAACTAGCCATCAATTATTTCAATAATCTAATTTCTTTAAATATTAAATGTAATACTGTAGTTAAAGTCCTAACAAAATTTTTAAAATAATATGTGAAAGTCAGTTTAAGACTTGAAAGCATATAAAATCAACGAGCAATTGTAGTATTATTTCCACAACTTGAATTTTTGTTGTGCCAAATTTTGAAAAAAAGCGATAGTACTAATAATGTCGATATTAAATTATGTAAAACAAAACAAGAATAAGGAACTCAAGTACGAGAATAGGAAATATTGGCATAGTAAAAGAGATAACTTACATGACTAAAATTAGGTAACTACACATCTACAGTACTTGAAGGAATCACGCATCCAATTTGTACATAAGATTAAAAACTATATAAGAGAAATTTTTAAGACAATAGTTATTCCTTAAAATAGCTTAGTACATCTATTTATGGACATCTGTCATCCCTTAATGAAAAGAAAACAAATAAATTGTTCTTACAGTAATTTGATGTGATGATTTAGACTGGAGTAATGACAACTTTTCATCATATACATTGTATCCTAGTTTCATGAAATCTTATATCATCAGTGTCTCAAACAAACATTAGTGTCAAAATATAATTCTTGAACCAGTAATCATTTAGTCCCAGATGATATATCTGTTTTATGAAACTGGTATTCTCTTTTTAGTGGTCTCAAATTACCACACAAAATATCATTTAGACATTATTTTGCTATGGTTTTACTGAGCACAATATTTTAGTTACAGGAAATTTGATGAGTCATACGAGAAGAAAGTTTATGCATTTAACATCCTCATAGAAAAGGACATCTTACAATACACAGAACAGTTAACTCGTACAAATGTTTATTTTATTTAATGAATAGTCATCAAAGATCATAAATTGCGATCAAAGACATTGAAATTTCCTCTTAAACAAAAAGATTCATCAGGAGAACTATTTTGTCACTAAATGGAAATCATAATTGACTGTACTTTAAACCGTTATTGCGATATGTTGGATTTAATTTTGTGCTCATCATAAAAAGAAGATTTGCAGCAAATGCTTGTCATTTCTCTTCAAACAAAAAGAATAAAATTTGCTCAAAACCATAATACATATATGATATTGTAAAAGGGATACAAGAGCATCATGGAGAATTGCGTAGAGAACGCAAGAATTCTCAAGGAAGGCATTGAGCGTACTGGGAGATTCGACATCGTTTCAAAAGACGCAGGTGTGCCCCTCGTTGCCTTTAAACTGAAGGATAGTAGCCAACACACAGTCTTCGAGATATCAGAGAGCCTGAGAAGATTTGGATGGATAGTTCCGGCCTACACAATGCCGCCTGATGCAGAGCATGTTGCAGTTCTGAGAGTGGTGATCAGGGAAGACTTCAGCAGAAGCCTTGCAGAGCGTCTTGTCTCCGACTTAGTGAAGGTGCTGTCGGAGCTCGATGCTCTGCCAAGCCGAATCGCAAAGATTGCAGCTGCTACGGCTGAGATAAGTGGTGATGGTGGTGCGGTGTCGAAGAAGAGTGTGAAGGAGATACAGGAAGAGATAACCAGTCACTGGAAGAGAATTGTGGAGAAGAGTAAGAAGACGAGTGGTGTTTGTTGATTTGCCTGAATGGAGGTTTGTGGATTTGGTTCTGGTTTTTGAACGTGCTGTGTTCGGTTTTCTGCTAGTTAATGTGCAGTTTTGATTCATGTGAGCCGGTTGGTTTCCGGACTACCTGTTTATACAGATGGTGCTTGAGGAATCGGACGTTACTTGGTATCTTGCTCTACTCGTATTTGTTATAAAATAAGGAGAGATTATTATGTGAGGAGAGCTGTGTGCGCTGTCCGATCACTGCCGCGCATACAGCCGCGATGTGGGTTTCACTGTCATACAGCCGCTGTGATAGGAGAACGCACGCTCTCCGCACGTAATAATTAAACTAAAATAAGAGGTTGTTTCGCTTGCTAAATAAAAATGCGGAATAAAATGAGTTGTTTGGTTGAGTGGAAAAAAATTATAGTGCTAGTGGACAGTGTTTTGGTAACGGCAAGTGATAGCAGTGGTATTTATAAGGCCAAATTTTGATTTTATAAGTTTTGATTAAGTTCGAGTTAAAAAAGAAAAACACGAAAATTTTTTTCATCATCCAACTAAAAATTAAAATTTTAAACTGTTATAAATGGAATGCATTAAAAAAATAACGCAGCAAATTAAAATCGAAGTGGTTTTTCTTTCTATTTTTTCTTAGTGCTCGTTATTATTAATATATTAATCAATGACAGGTATAAATGTAATTGTTAAGCATTTAATAATTTTGAGACCTATCATTAAAACTAATTTTTACAGAATAATTTTGTTATTACATTTTTAATTTTGAGAACGAAGCTATAAGGAATGTGCTAATTGAATGCAAAGAACAATAAGTATCAAATCCTTAATCGCAGCAGGAATATATATTCTGTCCCCTGTTAATAGTTCAATAATAAAGATTTTATCACACCGATACAAACAAAGCTAATATTCCAGTAAAATTATACTACACACATAATAATCCATATTATTAATTACAATACAATAACCACATCTCCATCTTCATTCTGCTTCAAGTCTTCGGTGTAGCTGCGCCCTTCACAACTGTAACAGGACATGTGGCATTGGTCACTACGTATTTGCTGACACTCCCAAGCAGCAATCTACATCAAAATTGCATCGCCTGATTATAAAATCTTCTTGGAATTATAAAACTTAAGTGAATCTGACATCACTCTAAATTATACTACAAATTACATGTCTTGCAACTGCTGAAAGAACAAAAAATAATGAAGGATGGCAAAAATTGAAGGAATAATAACTACAGAATCAAACGAAAGAAGATAAAATGGAAGAAAACATGATTGATATTGGAGAAGGGAGAACCTTTTGAGAACTCCTAATCCTCTGCTGCCGACCACAAGGCAATCAAGCTTCAGATCCTCAACCGCATCACAGAGCTTCTCCCTTGGATCACCCCAATAGATCTTGCAAACCACCTTCACCTTCAATTTCAATTTATTTGAAGGATTTATATTTTAAGTGAAGAAAAATAAAATATGTATCATTAATTAAACATAAATCCAAGATCATATAGATATTACCTTCATTGTTCTGGAGGCAGAATCGAGGAGGTCGAGGATTTCAGGATCTGGATTAACGCCGTATAGCTTGGGCAAATTCATCTCCCTGAGTTCTTCCAATGGAATCAGTGCTGCACCACAAAAACAGCTCGTCAACCTCATCAGAAATTAATTAAGAATAATCAAGCAGAATTAAAGGATTGATATTATTGGGAACGGACGAGATCCGGTGTTCCCCCAGAGTTTCTTCTGGGCTGTCTCGGCCTTGCTGGATTGGACGTGGATGGCAATAATGGTGTCGCCGTCCTCGACGAGGTTCTCGACCGCCCACCGCACCGCCGCCCGGCTCGTCGCTGAGAAATCTATCGCCACCCCCACCCTCCGCTTCTCCCCCATCTCTCTCTGTCTCTCGCTCTCTTTTGCGCGACGCCACAACTTGAGGCTTTCGCTTTATTCTGCACTAACTCCCTGCCATGGGTATCAATTTACGTCGCAGAGAATGTTGATTGAACAAATGTATTGTGATTAAATTAACTTTTAAGTAGGACATTAAAATCATTATTTTGATTCTAGATTTTTCATAGAGCGACTATAATTTCACAGAAAAAGGGTAAGGGCTGCATTTAAAATGTAAGTTAAATTTATTAAATTTAGTGAAGTTAAATTTATAATTATGTTTGGTATTATTTGGTATTTCATATAGGTAACGGGGCTTCTAGATTTTTATGGGCACATAGGTCGTAGTGCCAAGCTATGATAAACGTAATATTATATTGAAATATCTTGACAAAAATTATTCATCATTATATTTAAACTTTTTCATTTTTTAAAATGTACCCAATACAAAGATATTAATTAGAAAGTATATTACACTAATTATTTTAAATAAATCCAATAAATTTAATTCAACTGTATTAATTTTTTTTTTTCATGTTCTAGGATATTTTTAGAAGGAATTGAGTGCCACTTTATTCATGGCGCATAAAATAACATTTGACAAAGAAACAAGACGATGGTTCTGGAAAATGGTCGAATCTTTCTTCTCTATGCTAAAAGTAAAGGTTCCAGAAACTAGAAAGGAAGTGGTCATCCGTGCAAATGTTGTATTGGCAGGATGTTGTCTGCAATTTTGATATTTTAGAAGTGGATTTTAGCAAAAAAATAATAAATCCTTTGCGATACGACATCTTTATTCTTGGCTTCAATGTTTTTCTTCGAGATTTCCATTGCGTGGCACTAGAAGCCGCCGCAAAAATCCGGAAGGTGAGAAGATGTAACCGCGACGTGTGGTTAAGAATTCTTGGCTTCAATGTTTTCCTTGGAGATTTTCCTTGGCGAGCACAATTCGACAGCGGTCTTGTTACTCCGTAGGGCCTGAGAGCTTCTAACGTGATGGAACCATTTGAGGCATGGGTGTAACTGAGTCAGGGCGACGCCTGAGCTGGCTCGAGCTCTCAATTCGATGAGCTTTCATTTCGATAAGTGGCTCTTGAATTGAGTTCGATGAGCTGATAAGTTAAGATTGAACTTACCCGACTCAACTTATTAATGAGATTGCCGCTGGCTTATTTAAAAAAAATATTAATGTAAGATATTTTAAAAATAAATTAAGTTTAAGGACTTTATCTTTAAAATATAATATTTTTTATTTAATATTAAGTGATTTATTAGTATTTCTCTCGTGATTTCTTATTCTACCTGTAATTTTATTATAGTTCTACTTTAAATTAATATTATTTTTTCACTTTTTATAATAAACAATTGAAAGCCAGTTCAAACTCGTATTGAGCTCAAGCTTAAACTCGATAAAATTAATTAAGTTCAAGCCCTAGCCGAGGATGACTCAAGCTTGATTCGACTATAAGGGCGTTCTACTATAGGAACCGTGCCTATATATATGTGCACACGCGGGTATCATTAAGGGCAAGCACTTAATGATTTTTAACCTTTTGCTTGCGGGTGCCATGTAGCTCCCCAGATTAAAAGGCACAACCTTGTTATACATTGCATGTTTATTGGCTTTCTCGCTGACATTATTTTTAGTTTTTATTTTATCTTTTAAATATATTTGTTAGAGTCCCTAGGCTAAGTTTGTATTAGAAATAAGGTACGGGTGGACGACGCATCGAACCACACGACGGAGACTATGAGCGGCATCTCGTGTCCCATACCTTAAGTTTGAATTGTATATTTTTGCATAGATCTAGGATCAGACATGTATATGTGGAGTCTGACCGCCTTTTCTGCTTTTCCTGGGACATGTTGCCAACTTAGCGACATTGACCTCTTTTATATTTTAGAGTGCTTTTATGTTTTTTGCATGTTTGCATGTTTGGACTGTTTTTCTTGTTTATTTCTAGTTTATCTGAGATATCATGAAAATTATAATTTAAACTCTTTAGGGCCTTAAAATTGTCAGTTTCTCTATATAAAATTCCTAATACAAGATTCAAGATAAATTAAAATTTAGGATTAAAATATTACGGATTTTCAAAATCTATCTCTTACTTTTCTGCATAGCCTTCAGACCAGATTTTATCTATCTCTTCCAACCTATTGTAGCTCCATCTGATATTCATAGGATAGAATTTTATTCCTTTGACCTGAAGGTTGTCGAGGTCCCCAGTGGACGACACAATTCACGTGTTGTTGACCGGGGATCTCTAGAGGTGTTGGGTCGACTACCTTCTCGACCAGGTAGACTTAGAGTTTTAGTGGCTTGAGATGACAGGTCCATGGTACCCTGACTTGACCACCTTTACCTTCTAGGGACTGCTCGTCCCTTCTTTTAACTATCCTGTTGAGCCCTATCGCTCCTTTTGTCTTTGTTGGCATCATCTCGAAGGCATAATTACCGATAGACTGCCACATATTTGAGATACAGTTATTTTTCCTTTGCTCTTATGACTCGGATGTGCTTTGACGTATCAGAATTCCCTATCGGGATGATTCAATTATTTCGCAGGCTTCGTATGCTGATGAGTCTGTTGCCCATGTAGGGACCGTGAGAGACTCACTCTCCGCCTTGTAGTTTAGCGGGAGCTTTGAAAGCATCAGAGCATTCCTCTTCGACATAACCATCCTTTGATAGCCTTGTACTTGGTTACTACTAAAGTAAGCAAAACTCATTTGGATCAAGAGTATTCTTGAGCAACCTCCAAGATGTAATTAACCAAGTAGAATACGTTCCATTGAGAGCACTCTAAATCCTAGAACAGACAAACAAACCTGAATCTCTAGTTTTGGGTAGTCAATATAGATATTTTTTTTTATGGATACTGATCCAAGGTGCTTATGCCCGATCTTGTTTGGGAGGGCTTTTTTGAAATATCTTTGCAAGGTTTATCAAACGTAGACTCTCTACATTCTTTCTCTTGTTTGTTATCTTTATCGTATGACAATATTTTTTGATTCATCTCTTCTACTGATCATTCATATGATCCGGAAGAGAGATTTATTCAGAAAAAAAGAAGTATACGATGATAGAAAAACATGCAACTCCTTTAAAAATAAAAAGAGAAAAGAATGAAAATAATATTCTAAGGGACGTCCTATGAAAATTCATTACATATTGCTCGAATTGTTGAGGGCTAACACCTGAACATATTTTCTTTGTTGGTCATTTTGTTGAAAGTTTTCAAATATACCACTGAAATAATAAAACGAAAAACTATTAATAATGCAAAGAAAAAACTATTAATGATGGAGATTTTTGCACTTATCATTACATTTTTAATTCAAAACTATCAAACTGCAAATAAAAATGAGGTATGAATGATATGACTTAAAATATGCTATTTTTCTTTATACCATTTATGCTTATTTATTATGATATTTTACTTTAATGAAAGATATTTTGCATATTTTTGGTTTCAGATATATGAGATGAAGTTTTATAGTAAAAGAAGTGAAAACGGAGCAAAATAAAACATGGAGCTTATTTCTTAACTTGCGCTTATGCGCCAGAATTCGGAGACTGACGCCATAGCGCCACAGTTGGGTGCCTAGGCGACGGTCAATTATTCGAGGCTTCTAGAAGGGTGGTGCTTAGGAACCACAGTTAGGCACCTGGGCGCCAGAATCAATTTTCTTCAATATGCGTTGAATTTGGACAAAATTCGAAAGGGCATCTGAAGTGACTCTTGAAGATCTCGTTAGTTATCATAAAGGAGTCAAGAGAAGCAAAAAAAAAGTAAGTGTTTGAGAGGGTGGCGTGAGGTCTTGTGTGTTTGTGTCTGTGTGGAGACTTTTGTTAAGCTCTTAGTAAGAGTCTTTGTTTGGGTGACTCTTGGAGTGAATTGTAAAGAAAGTTTGGAGAATATTTCAAAGGAACTTCAGATGATTTGCTTGGGGAGAAGATTAAGATAAATACTTTGAATTTGTTTATTTTGTAAGCCTGAATTTTAATATAAAACATGTTTTGTTGTGTTATCCTCATGAGATTTGAGTAGTTTTTTTATCTTTCTCCTTGCAATAAGAATTAATCATTTGTAGGATTATAATCATTTAAGATTTCTTTTATTCCATACTTGTGATGATTCATTACTTCATACTTAGGGTCTGGGGCAGCTGCCGTTTCTCAGCTTTTCAGCTGTAGCTGCGCTGCCCCAAGAAGCTGCTGCGAGGAAGTTGCTGCAGGAAAGTTGGCTGCTTGTATTTTGCAGCTGTGTGAAAACAGCTGTTGGGCTGTTGTTTCTGAAAAAATGAGCATTCTGCCCTTGTTTAGTAAAACATTTTAAAATAGAACTATGAAAGTCACATATTTGATACTTTAGATGCAGAAATATCTTAAAATTAGCCACATATTTAAATCTATAATATATTATTTTTACCAAATAAATAGAAGATAGTTTTAATTCAAACACTTTTTTTTTTGTTAATACATATCCTAAAATTACCCATCTAATACTTAAAAATTTTATATATACTGTATGACTCATAAATCATATAAACATAGTATTAATGCAAATTTAATTAAGATAAAATTTTTATTCCAAGCATATTCTTCATTGAAATTTAGAAAAGTAATAAACAGGAAAATATAAAAAGAAGGATGACGTGCGTATGAATTTAATGTGCTCCTTCAAGCTTCCACACAAATACAGGCAGCGTCGAGGAATCATCTTCAACTTTTCCGTCGAATCGATCGCCTCATTCCACTGTTGCCCAAAACTCCAGGAACTATAAGATCCGCGTGACAGGGAGGGAGCGTGGGACGGAGCGACAGGGAGGAAGTGAAAGATGGAGTCGCCGGCAAGGGAGGAGTGCGAGCTGCAGTTGAGCGAAGCAATTAAACACGCGAGACAGTGGGGAGGTAGAGACCGTGAGAGCTTCGGCCCGGAAGGGTATTATGGATGTGCGCTGCGACATCTACCCCCACGAATGCGGGTCGTGGGGTTTAGATCTGCGACTCGCGCCAAATTTGTTTCTTGGCGCGAGGGGGACGTAGAACCAAACAACGAAATATCGCGACCTGCCGCCGCGACGCAGTCAAATCGCGGTCCCAAAAGAGTCCT